GGGAGGCAGAGGCAGATGGATCTCTGTGAGTTTAAGGCCAGCCTGGTCTACAGAGCTAGTTCCAGGACTGGATCCACAGCCACACAGAGAAACCCTGTCTCGGAAAAACCAAAAGAGAAACAAAAAACAAACTTCTGCTCCCTCTTACACGAAGTCTGAGCAGGGAGTTCACTTCTTCTTGTCTCTACTTGAATACATGACGGACGGTGAAGCTCACTTCCCATCGCTCTGTTGATGGTGAAGCTCACTTCCCATTGCTCTGTTGATTCAATGTCTTCATTCACAGCATTTAGCATTTATTTGTTTTCCCTGTGTATATGAATCTGGTATTTACTTCTTAAACAAACAGGGGACAGAATTAAGATGTTGTGCTTTGGGGGCTGGAGAGATGGTTCAGTAGCTGAAAGCACTGAGGTCACCCACCATGGCAGCTCTCTACCATCTGTAACCCCAATTCCAGGGTACCCAGTGGCTTCTGTAGACCTCTGCCAGCACCAAGCATGCGCATTCATTCATTCATTCATTCATTCATTCAGGCAAAACACTCACACTAAAACAATGTAAAGATTATGTAATTTTTATTATTTAACTGAAAATACCTTCTGGAGAATGTAGGTTTCCAAGATGTGCAACATCAGATAATTTGTCAGACTGGCAGTGGGCTGAGAGAGATGAGTGTTCCAGGCACTTTGTGCTCTGAAGAAAGACCTTAGCTACTCCACTGACCCTGGGTAAGACATCCCTGTAACTGACATGGTGTTAATTCCTGGGAGTTTTCTCTTGTTAGCAAAGAAGAAAGGTAAAATAATTGTTATTGGCTTAAGCTCAAAACAGACTAGGGCCACAGCACATTTCTCTCCCAACACCAATCTTGTTTGATCAAACATTGCTATTAAAAAACAAATTGTTTTGAGATTTAGACAATTTAAATATTTAATGCACTTACATGATGTCATAAAGGCTTTGCCAAAAACCCAAGTAATTTACAAAAATTTCATTTTTGTATGACTGTATGTTATCTTTCACTTACCATTTTTAATTGGATAGCAAGTATGCACCCAACTTTTGGTCAAATGTTGTATGTTTTAGGCGTATCCTTTTTATAAAAGATGAAACTGATTAAAAATTAAAAGATATTAACACATCTTTTAAATCCATAGTAATTACTTTTTAATTGACTACGTTGAGAGTGATAGCAGTGTGCAGTGTGAGCTGCAGTGAGCACTGACTGTTCTTTCAAGGACTGGGGTTTCATTTCTAGCACCCACAGCTCAACCATCTTTCCTTCAGCTCCAGAACTGACAGCCTGGGACACCAGGCACAAATAAAACATTTATACATAGAAAATCAAAATAATTTTTTAAAGGAAAGTTGGCAAAAAGTACCCGGCTTTTCCTCCAAAGCACAGGAGTATGTAAGAAGTTTGAGAAGCCCACTGGCTCACTGGAGGTCACACTGCACACTGCTGTGGAAGCCCACTGGCTCACTGCAGCTTGTACTGCACACTGCTGTGGAAGCCCACTGGCTCACTGCAGCTCACACTGCACACTGCTGTGGAAGCCCACTGGCTCATTGCAGCTCACACTGCTGTGGAAGCCCACTGGCTCATTGCAGCTCACACTGCACACTGCTGTGGAAGCTCACTGGCTCACTGCAGCTCACACTGCTGTGGAAGTCCACTGGCTCATTGCAGCTCACACTGCACACTGCTGTGGAAGCCCACTGGCTCACTGCAGCTCACACTGCATACTGCTGTGGAAGCCCACTGTCTCACTGCAGCTCACACTGCTGTGGAAGTCCACTGGCTCGTTGCAGCTTGTACTGCACACTGCTGTGGAAGCTCACTGTCTCACTGCAGCTCACACTGCTGTGGAAGTCTACTGGCTCACTGCAGCTTGTACTGCACACTGCTGTGGAAGCCCACTGGCTCACTGCAGCTCACACTGCACACTGCTGTGGAAGCCCACTGTCTCACTGCAGCTCACACTGCTGTGGAAGTCCACTGGCTCACTGCAGCTCACACTGCACACTACTGTGGAAGCCCACTGGCTCACTGCAGCTCACACTGCATACTGCTGTGGAAGCCCACTGGCTCACTGCAGCTCACACTGCTGTGGAAGCCCACTGGCTCACTGCAGCTCACACTGCACACTGCTGTGGAAGTCCACTGGCTCACTGGAGGTCACACTGCTGTGGAAGTCCACTGGCTCATTGCAGCTTGTACTGCACACTGCTGTGGAAGCCCACTGGCTCACTGCAGCTCACACTGCTGTGGAAGCCCACTGGCTCACTGCAGCTCACACTGCTGTGGAAGCCCACTGGCTCACTGAAGCTCACACTGCACACTGCTGTGGAAGTCCACTGGCTCACTGGAGGTCACACTGCTGTGGAAGTCCACTGGCTCATTGCAGCTTGTACTGCACACTGCTGTGGAAGCCCACTGGCTCACTGCAGTTCATACTGCACACTGCTGTGGAAGCCCACTGGCTCACTGCAGCTCACACTGCACACTGCTGCGGTTACAGGAGCTGTGTGTTTTTTCTGCAGTGCTTCAGCAGCTCACAGCTCAGGGACAACACAGTCTGCTGTGGAGCTCTTGAAATCTGAGAGAAACTGGGCTTGTGTTGTACATCGCCCTTCTGGACTCGGCCTTTCCTACCCCTGATGTTCTTCCAGTTCATTCTTCTGGTACTCCACACAAGAAGTCTATCTGAGTTGACATCGCAGATGAGAATAAAATCTGTCTCTTTCCTTTTGGAGAAAATAGAACTAAAATAGTACCAAAATTATCTGTCTTGAAATGAGAGAAGCCGGGTGTGGTGGCACACACCTTTAATCCTAGCACTTGGGGGCAGAGGCAAGTGCATCTCTGGGAGTTTGAAGCCAGTCTGGTCTACACAGTGAGTTCCAGGAGCCAGAGCTACGTAATGGAGAGAGATGCTGGTGTGGGAGGAGGTCAGAAGAGCATCGCATCCCTGAGAGCTAGGTTTACAGCCATTAAGAACCTCCCAACGTGCGTGCTGAGACCCTAACTTAAGTGCTCTCAGCTGAGCCATCTCTCTTCGGCTCCCTTTGTTTTGTTTTTTAGTTTGTGAAGTGAAAAGAGGTCATACTGAGGAGTAAGTAAATTTTTTTGGTTTCTTTGAGACAGGGTTTCTCTTTGTAACCCTGGCTGTCCTGGAACTCACTTTGTAGATCAGGCTGGCCTCGAAGTCACAGAGATCCACCTGCCTCTGCCTCCCGAGTGTTAGGACTAAAGGCGTGTGCCACTATCTCCTGGTGGTCTAAGTGATTGTTATATTGCACACAGTCTACTGTCTAGCCCAATACTTCTTAACTTTGATCTCAGCACCTTTTGTAATCCTGAGAGCCATTGAGGACCCCACTGAGGTTCTGTCTGGATAGCTTATTCACACTGGAAACTAAAACTGACCAACTTTGTAGATATGTATTTTCAAGGTTAATAGCAAACAGTTCACTTTATCAACAAATAGTGTGTGTGTGTGTGTGTGTGTGTGTGTGTGTGTGTGTCTGTCTGTCTGTCTGTCTCTGTGTGTATAAGAACCTTTTTCTTTTTATTAATTTTTTTTAGGCTAGGCAAACACATTCTCTAGTAATAGTTTGAAAAAAAATTTAATGTCCATTTTATCTTATATGTCTGGTTATTTTGTCTGCATATTACATGTGTACCTGTCAGAAGAGGGCATCAAGCCCCTGGAGCTGGAGTTACAGATGGTTGGTTGTAAGCCATCATGTGGATGCTGGGAGTTGAACTGGGGTCCTCTGCAAGAGTACTCTTAACCCCTCAACCATCTCTCCAGCCTTGAAAATGTTTTTTACTTCATGGACCACTGAAAGGATCATGGGACCACCTGGACCACTTGGGAATTATTGGTCAATGTAGGCTGTGGCTCCAAACGTATTACCGTTCGCTTTACTGAAGGGTACCAAAGAAGGCATTCAGATGATACAAATGGAGCAATGCTTTTTACGTAGATGAATGGTAGCATCACAGAAACGGGTTCTTTGGATGAGTGCACAGATATTGCTTTCAGGGCTTGGGTAAGACTTAAGTTTTGTTTCTCCAGGAGTCTTAGAGGGAGCAGTGATTAGATATTTACTCAGATGCTGCTAGAAGAGCTGATCTAAGGTTGTTGTGGCCCAAATGTGAGAGGAAGGTGTGTTCCCATTGTTCAGCAGGCTAGGCTTCATAACTGACAGGGTGATCTTGCCTTGCTGGTGGGAGAGGTTGGGTTATGAGATCTTCTGCAGGGGCTCAGATAGGCCTTGACTGTAAAGCAATGTAACAGATGACTTACACTAGATTTCTTTTCCTTTAACTATAAACTTTTTTTAAATGTGTGTTTACACATTCATGATCATGTGCTACCATGAGCCTGACACAGCACACATGTGGAGGCCTGAGGAAGACTTACAAGAATCTCTTGGCTCTTCCCTTCTACCATGTGGGCTCCATGTGGCAGCAACCAACTTTACCCACTGAGCCATTTTGACAGCTAGATCAAGAGTATATTTCATGCCAGGCAGTGGTGGTGCACGCCTTTAATTCCAGCAGTCGGGAGACAGAGGCAGGCGGATCTCTGTGAGTTCGAGGTCAGCCTGGTCTAGAGAGTGAGTTCCAGGACAGTTAGGTCTACACAGAGAAACCCTGTCTCAAAAAGCAAACGAAAAGAATATATTTCATACATTTCACCTAACTATATGAATAACACTTTTATTTGCCAGACATACACTTACATTTTCTTTTGATTATTTTATGTGTGTATTTTACCTGCATGAGTGTATGTGCAATGCCCATGGCGGCCAGAAGAGGGCATCAGAGGGTTGTGAGACACCATGTGGGTGCTGGGAAACAAACCCAGGTCCTCTGTAAGAACAGCCAGTAAGACATCTCTCTAGCCCCATACATGTAATTTTAGGGCATACACATCTAACACAAATTTTCCCTTTCTCGTTTTCTTTGGGATGTGATGGTACAGACCATGGGGAACTCATATGCTGGGCAGCTGAAATCTGCTAGATTTGAGGAAGCTCTACACAACTCCATAGAAGCCTCGCTCAGATGTAGTAGTGTAGTCCCACGGCCAATCTTCTCCCAGCTTTACTTGGACCCGGATCAGCACCCTTTCTCGTCTGCAGGTAAGTTTCTTAATTGCATGCATTTCTAGACCCCTCTCAAAAGAAGTGGGAACGCCAAATCCTGGGAACTCAAGTGTTAAAAATGCCAGTCTCACCCTCCTCAAAAATATCTTTCAGGACTTCTCCTGTAATCTTTCTTCCATAAGCATCCTTTTGAAAATTAAATTGCATTGGTCTCTTTGCTTACCCAGATGTCAAACCCAAGGTGGAGGACCTAGATAAAGATCTAGTGCACCACTACACGCAAAATGGCAGCCTGGATTTTTCTAATAATGTAGCAGTTGCTGAAATGGAAGATGACGAAGATGAAGAAGAAATGTCTGACTCAAACAGTCCGCCAATCCCCTATTCACAAAAACCTGCCCCAGAAGGGTCTTGCACTACAGATGGTAGGTTTGCGCTTTTGAATTCTTTTCAGCTTTGTATTGTAATTTCATTTGGCCTGTTTCCAATCATTCCGTGTGGTTTTCAAGACTGGATACCAGTCGTTGTTGGAAGGAATAAGTGGCTATATCTTGATGCATTTATCTAATATTCTTTATCAGTTAATAACTTGGGAGTCAGATATTGGGGTAAGAACCTGAATGATCAGAGAATCGGCAGAGGAGTGACCAGCGATCTCCTACTTCTGTCCTTCCTCTATCAGAAAGGGTTGAGACCCTCGCAAAGCCCCTCCCTACTACTTCCTGTCTCTCTATCTTCAGTCCTCCAAAAGCTCTATGGTTAATTTTGGTCAGCTAATAGCTTTGCCCTCTGATTCAAAGCAAACTTTATTGTCAGAATATCATCAACATATCACACAACAACACCCTCCCTCCTATGGGCTCTTTAGGGCTCACAACAGTTGTCTACAGGAAACGTAAGACTCACCCACTCTTGTAGATGAGTAGACTAAGGTTCACAGTTGAACCAATTCCTTGAGAGGATCTGTGCAAATGCAAGCTTGGACAAAGGTCAAGGCTTCTCCACTATTCTGTAAGAACTCACTCTCATGAGTTTTTATTAAAACAATGTCTCATCTTTCTTGTCCTTTTAGTTACCCCCAAGATAGTAATAGAAATGTAGATGCCCTGATTCTTTATCTACCTAGAGCATTTTTATTACATTTATTTATGTCGTGTGTGTGTGTGTGTGTGTGTGTGTGTGTGTGTGTGTTACACATGTGGGTGGGTGCTCATGAGCCACGGCACAGACATGGATCAAAGGACAACTTGCAGGAGTAAGTGCTCGCCTTCCACCCTGGGGATGCCAGGGTCACGCTTGCTGGTAGGCAGGCACCTTTGGCTACTTGATCATCATGCTGGACCCACAGGTATACTCACTGAGTGCAGAGGTAAAAAACAAATCTTTTATATATATTGTAAGTGTAAAACTTGGTTATAGAATATAAAAATGTAAGTAATTTGATTCTCTCTCCCCTACCCACTCAGTTTTTTGACACTGGGTCTCATTATGTAGTGTGGATTGGCCTGAAATTCACTATATAGAACATACTGGCCTCCAACTCACAGAGATTTATTTACCTGTCTCTGCCTCCCTAGGGCTGTGATTAAACGTATACACCATCATGGCAGCTGATGATCTCATTCTATTTGTTTGTGTGAGCTTCATTTCCTTCCATGCTTTGAACCACATTTTAAATAAGGAAATCCTGGTTCCTAACATTTTCATTGTTTTGTGGTTTCAGTGATATTCCAATTTAAAGTCTTATTTTCTTCCCTTTACCTAGTTGCTGTGTTCTGGTCACCCATATAATTAGTATGTGGGTGTGGTTTTATACTCTGGCTGACTGACATTCACCTGCATGGTATCAGAGCATGAAAACCTTGAGGAGGTATGGGGGAGGAGAAAAAGAAGGTTCCAGATCTTAGGACAATTCCCTGACAAAGCTTGGAGAACAAGCAATTTGATGTAAACTAAAGTTTTATCCAGGAAAAGCTAGAAAAATAGTGTCCCTAGAAAGTATCTTCACAGGTGTTCTTCATCTTAGGCCCGCCCACAGCACATCACCTCCATGCATTTGCTTCCACAAATGATTGACTCACTGATGTACCGTAAGCCTTTAAACCCGTGGAGACGTGGCCGGTGACAGCATTGTGTTGCTGTTCTACTTGATTTATTCTTGTTACATCCTTTCTTCAACTGAGCAGTCACCTCACCAAGTTACAAATGACATTGAACCGTGCTTAAAAAATGGTAGTGTCTGGTTGAGAATCTAATTCATGTGAATGACTAAATAGAGCCAGAATGAAAACTTCAGGGGATGATTTTGAAATAACCAAATTTTTTCTCCCAAAGTATGGGAGAGAGTTTTCCCTGTCCTCCTGTACATGGGGTGTGTTTTCAATTTGGCAATGGCGTTATTTATAACCAGGTTTTTTTTTTTTTTTTTTTGGAAAAGGTATTTGTAGCTATCAAGATATAAACTTGGTGTCCTGAAAACAACACACCTTTAATCCCAGCACTTGGGAGGCAGAGGGGGTGAGTTTGAATTCCAGATAGCACAGCTGCCTAGTGAGAACCTGCCTCAAAGAAAACAAACAAGCAAAGCCATAGCAATGAAAACCCCACCAAGTTAAGATATGTTTCCTATACTTCTCTCAGGATCTCACTCTGACCCAGGCTGACCTTTAACTCACACTGAGCTGCAGAATTTGGGGTGATTCTTTCACCCCAGCCCCAAAAAGGGCAATAGTGATTTTGTTTTATTTTATTTCATTATTTAGTATTTTTTACATTCCAATCCCAGTTCCCCCTCCCTCCTCCCCTCTCTTTCCCCCATCCCACCTCCCATCCACTTATCAGAGAGGGTAAGGCCCCCCCTAGGATGTCAACCCCCTCGCCTCTTTGAGGCAGGACCAAGGCACATACCCCCACCCCATGTCAAGGCTGACAAGGTGTCTCTCCTTAGGGAATGGGCTCCACAAAGTCAGTTTGTGCATCATAGTTAGATCCTGGTCCCATTGCCAGTGGCCTCATATACTGCCCAAGACTCACCATTGTCACCAGTATTCAGGGGTCCTAATTTGGTCTTATGCTGGCTCCCCAATTGGCAGGACAGAGTCAGTGACACTGGAGAGAATGTGGAGAAAAGGGAACACTCCTCTGTTGCTGGTGGGAGTGTGAACTTGTACAGCCACTGTGGAAATCAATGGCAATTTCTCAGAAAGTTAGTAATCAGTCTACCTCAAGACCCTGTAATACCACTGTTGGGCATATACCCAAAGGAGTACATTCACACCACAAGGACATTAGCTCAGCTATGTTCATAGCAGCATTATTCATAATACCCAGATCTTGGAAACAACCTAGATGCCCTTCAACCAAAAAATGAATAAAGAAAATGTGGTACATTTACACAATGGTCAGTGGTCAGAAACAATGACATCTTTAGATTTGCAGGCAAATGGACAGAACTAGGAAAAACCATCCTGAGTGAGGTAGCCCAGACCCAGAAAGACAAATATAGTATGTACTCACTCATGTGGATACCAGACATAAAGCAAAAGATACCCAGCCTACAATCCACAACTCCAGAGAAGCTAGAACCCTCTTTCAGAAACAGATGGAAGCAGATTCGGAAATCTATAACTAACCATCAGGCTGACCTCCCGGAGTACAATCGAACTGAGGGAGGAGCAATAATATGAGCAAAGGGGTCAAGACCTATCTCTGATGCTTCCGATTCTCATAACTACTGGTCGTTGTTCATGTCCTGTGCTTAACTCTCCCCTGAGACAGCGTTTAAAATAAAAAGTCGTTTATAACTTGGTATTTTAGGTTTCACTTGGTGTTATCAATTCTGCTCCCTGGGAGATCTAAGAATCTTCCCGCTCAAAAGGAAAGTAGCCCTGAAGTTGTGCTCACAAAGCAGTAATGAACCCTTGCAATAGAATGAATGGCTGTGGCCTTGTTTGAGAATACCACCTTCCAGTTCCTGGGGATCCTCTGTTTGCCTAAGGCTTAAAGCTGTAAAGCTATTTTTAGAGGCAATTTAGATAAGCAGTTACTTAACATCTGATAGGCTGCCATTCATAGGCAAATTTTGGTTGCTAATTTCTTATGTAAATGATTGGACTAGAGTAGGTTCCTATCCTGCTGGGAGGCAGTTGATTGTCTATGCAGGCGAAGAGCCTCCAGGTTTGAGACCTCTGGAAGCTGCTTTCATTACTTTAGCTGGGTTTACTGCTGTGCCAGTAAACGGATCCTTTCCCTCCTTGTATTTACTCTGGTGCCTTCTAGTTGGAGATAATTGGAGAATGCAAATCCCTTTCTACGAAGTGAAAACCTTGGCTATTCTCTTAAGAACATGCAGATGAAGTTTATAAAGAAGGGCCCTCTGCTATCACCACCACAGTGTTTTAATTAGAATCATTTGTCTCAAAAGAGCATGGCAGGAGAGCAAACTTCCATTATTGCCCTCAGAAGTGAAGTGAGTCCCGGAGCGGGGCGAGTTTGCAAAGCACATTGTCCACTCGTACAAGCAACTGTCTTCCCTTCCTGGTACAGCAGCAGCCTAGAGCCTCCGGTGGGATGCTCTGAGGTGGTCTAGTGGTCTCTAGAGAGTACTCGTGTCTTTGCCATGAGGGATCCTGGGATCTTGTTGGTCTGGAAATCCAGCCACATGTCATGGATTCTGCAGCTAACCACTCCTTGTAGGCACAGTTTATTTTCAGAAAAAAAAAAAAACAAAAACAAAAACAAAAACAAAACAAAGCACACACACACAAACCCATAAACATTGCTCTTAACATAATGTCTTTTCTTTCTTTGAGGGCCTCTGGTCTATATAATGTGTTTAATTAGCTGACAATGAGACTTTAGGGAAAATAGTCAGGAAATGTTTACAGTAGAACGAACACTGGAAGGTAAACGTCGCAATTCTCAGGATAACCACAAACTGAGTTTAGTAACTTTGCTTTGCTTCTGTGGCCATCATTGGCCATGAACTGAGTCCTGCCTGACCCTATGACAGCCTGGTGTTGTTTTCTCTTTCCACCCCATTCTTCTTTTTAATTAATTGCCTGAGGCTGTGTTGGCAAGTAACTAGAAGAAAAGTACTTAAAGGCTATTTTTAGGAGCAGCTTTACATATATAGAAGATGCAAGCCAGAAGTCCCGTTTCTATATGTATGCAATTTCTTCTATGAAATGCGTGGTGTAGGAGGCACATGTGTTATAATTAGTGAGCTAATCTTCATATTTTTCTTTAACTGTAACAATCAAGTCTAGGTTTACTTTGATTCCTTGCTTTTATCTTATAGGACCTTGCCAGGGTCCTATCGGGAATAGTACACCAGATTTAATTGTATTAGCTCATTAGGTTTCCTCTTAGCTTTGACATTGCCTTAGATTTTTTACCCCTAGTTTTGATGGCTCTAGTAATTTTA